ACTGGAGTATTCTTATTTATCCATTTATTTGATTTATACCTCACTTTCCCAAATTGCAGGATCCCATGGAGAGCAGCTATTTGAAGCTTATTTTTATGTTGTCAAGAGCTTCAATTTCTTTCATTGTTCTTGCTGTCTTACCAACAGCTGCACTAAGGAATTCATTTATTCTATCAGCTTCATGATAACCTAGTTACAAGGTATATTTTTATGTTTGCAGTGGCAGTACACGACAAATATAAGATCGTAAAGCCTGACTATTGGGTGTTTCCTATATTCTTGATGAGTATTCATGTTGGGGATATCTTAACAGGTCTTGTAACAGGTCATTTCTTTTCATTTTTTGTGCCTTCATTCAGTGTATGCTCCTGCCTGGTGCCTGCATTTTTCTTGACATGATTTCCAAAGTGATTTGCCATTGCCTGCTTCCTAGGCCTAAGAGAATAACTGCCCAAAGCAATCCAGCTTTCTTTGTGCTCTAGGTGAGAGTATGACTCACAGTCACCTAGTTTCTAGCCTGGTGCCTTAACCACTGCATCAAATAGGCTCTCACTTTTAATATTGGTCTTGTAAAACACATTCATATATTTATTGGCCATACTGCCTGAATGGCATCATCCAGCCAGCTGCTGGAATTCTGGCAATTGTAGTTTTCTCTTTGGAGGTTTTCAGTTGGGAAAACTGCTAAGGATGGAATGGGAAATATACCCAAAAGCCCAGATATGGGGAACGTGCCCTTTGGGGGCCTTGTTTCATCTGGGCTAGGAGGCCTTCAACAAAATGCTTCTTTCTTTTGGTGGAAGCTGACATTCGGGAGTCCACCTGGAGAACCTGTCCATGCGGTTGTTATGTAGCTGTCCCATGTTCTCCCATCAGAAAATTCTAAAAGGGTCCATGAATAATGACAACACAAAGGACATTGGTTTTACTGCTCTTTCTCAACAACATCAACAAATTCCAAGATATCAAGATGAAAGGCTTTGCTCTTTAACTAAAGGGGTCTTGTGGGATGTTGCATTTAAGTCAGTGTTGTCTTCTGGTGACTGCCTGAACAAGTCCCTGCAGTTTTCTTGGCAAGATTCTAGAAGTGGTTTGCTTTGCCTGGTTTACCAGCAGGCTAGAAATCAGATTTCTAGGCCCTTGTTAGGGATGAAAACCAGGAAGGCTTTCGGCCAATCACAGGAAAAAACAGGAGGTAGAATATTAGGTATGCTTGCCACCTTGTGTTATTTATAAAAATAATAAAAGCAGAATTAAAAGGGTTAAAAGAAAGTGACTGGCCCAAGATCACCTAGTTGGATTTGTTCCTAAAGCAGGACTATAACTCACAGTGTCCCAGTTTCTAGTCTGCTGCCTTAACCACTATTCCAAAGTGGCTCTTTAACTATAGCTATGTTTTAAAATAAAGTGAAACATTTAATCACCAATGTACAAATTCTGTAGCTTAATAACATTTTGGGATGTATAGTAAATGTGCTTAAGCCAACAGAGGAAAATTACTGCTTCATTTTATTTGTAATTGGTTGCAATAAAGTTTAAACACAGAATTCCCATCCCCATCTCCAGCTTAAAGAATAGGTAAGTTTTTTTAAAAAAAAAATCAATTCCTTAGGCTCAACTTTTAAACACAGACATTCTGGAAAAAATGTGCAGTTTTTAAAGCTGCTTCCTTGGCTGTCATGCAAGAAGCCTTTTTATAAATGTGGCCAGAGATGCCACCGGTCCCTCATCAAAGCAAGGCTGTTTGTAACAACTGTCTCAAGAGTTCTCGCTGGCTTAATGAGCTGGTAGCTGCCTGTGCTGGAAAGACAGGCAATCATATGTGTCTTTATCTCTTCATTAATCTTCACTATTCTCAAGCTGCTCTTCTCTGGCAATTCTTCGCATGGGCTCTCCCACAACTGACACAAGTTGTGATAAATAAAATACAGGAGTTCCAGGGCTTGGCTGTATCCTCATTAAAGACTAATAATGAATCTAAAATCTAAGCCACATACCCTGAGAGGAGATTTCAACATAATAGGGCAGTTTTGTCTTTCCCCTGTGTCACTTGAGAATTCAGTACCTTCCGAAACCTGATCTGCAGAGATGTATTCACTTTGACAAGGTATTTGTCACACAGAGCTTGCATTAACAAAGCTAAGGCACATTCATTTAGGCACAGCTTCTATTTGGCCTTCTTTTGAGTTACGATAAGAAGCTTGGTGAAACTACACATTTGCTCCAGAGCCTATGTAGAACTCCATTTTAAATTTCCTTGGCAAAACTTAATGCATATGGCTGATATATGGCTAAAAATGGAACTTTGATTACTTTCATTAATCACAAGTTCCTTATCTGAGTGTATAATATTGGTTATGCACTTCATATCATTAGGTAAACATTGTTTGATATGCAATGGTGGTCCAAGACCAGCGTTTATTGCATTTGCCAATCTGGTGCCCAAATACATTGAGCTGTAATGTCTAACATCTATGAGCATAGATGGTGGAGAATACTGCAGTCCATTGCATCTGGAGGGCACCTCTTTGAAGAAAATTACACTTGGCTGATCTTAAAAACCAGTCATACCTGGTTACTATTTGAATGGGAGATGATCAGGAAATACCATGTTGTAGAGTGTTGTTGTTGTTAGTTGCGAAGTTGTGTCCAATCCATCACGACCCCATGGACAACGTTCCTCCAGGCCTTCCTGTCCTCTACCATCCTCTGGAGTCCATTTAAACTCATGCCTACTGCTTCAGTGACTCCATCCAGCCACCTCATTCTCTGTCGTCCCCTTCTTTTCCCCTCAGTCTTTCCCAGGATTAGGCTCTTCTTCAGTGAGTCCTTCCTTCTCATTAACCTAATGAGGCCGAAGTATTTGAATGTTGTAGAGTAGATGTAAGTAAATGATTTATCCAAATCAGATCTTTTAAGTTATTCTAATTTTTGGTGTACTCTGTAGGGAGATGTTCATGTACATTGATATCATTTTGGTGTTTGAAGTCTGTGTTAAATATGGAACAATAATTGATAGAAACTGGGAAGTCATTCTCCTGCTACTTAATTTCAATTTCCTAGGCCAGGTTTTAGTTGAACTAGTTTTTTCTCCTTCATTCCAACCTTGAATTCCAGTCTTCATACACATCATATTGTCAACCCCTTCTTCTGCCTCAGTGGTTGGAGCATAAACTTGGATAATCGTTATGTTGGAGTGTTCAACAAACTCTAATTGACCTTTCAATCATTGATAACATCATACAAAAGCATTGTCCTTTCTACATTCTTCCCATGAAAGCAATGCCATTCCTTTTTTTTTTCATGTCTTAAATGGTACACAGTATGATCTTCTGAAAGTCTCCATCTGTAATCTGTTTCACTTTACTAATGACTAAGAGAGTAATGGCAAACCTTTTTGGCACCGAGTGCCAAAAAGGGAGTGTGCGCTCGTCAGGGCCGCAACCCGGAAGAGGAGCTGCCCAGGGTGCATGCGTACCCCCCAAAAATGAACTTCTGGTTTCCAGTACACCAGCTAGTCTTCCAATTACTGTCATGCTCACGCAGGAAAACGAAAGGCCAGCTCTTCCAGTTTCTGCAACTGCCGCACACACAAAGGCCAACTGATTGTCGTGGGCCCATGCATGCCAGAAACCTGGAAGAGGAATTGGTGACATGGCTCTGGGTGTCACTTCGGGCACGCATGCGATAGGTTTGCCATCACGGGACTAAGATGTTAATGTACAGTTGCTTCATTTCAGTGTTACGCTCTCCCATATTCATGCTTTTTATATTCCATGTTCCCACTATAACCCTATTTTGGCAGCTTTAGATTTTCTTTCATGCATAGAAAGGAATCAACCACTAGACTTCCCAAAGGTTTTAATTTAGGCACATCATAAGCACCATTAGTACTCTCAAATATACTCAACTGCTCCTCAGTAGCATGTTTTACTATCATCAGATTTGAGAGGCCCATCATCTAGCATTATATCATCAATCACTTTAACTTGTCTACCCATGTTTTCGTAGTAAAATTAGGAATTTCTTACTATTGCCTTCTGCCATGCAGTATGAAATGGTGCCTTTGTCACTGTCACAAAACTGATCAGCATCTTCTTATTTATCAGCATTATCAGACCTGGTTATTTACGGGACCGCCTGCTACCACCAATAGCCTCCCACCGGCCAGTACGCTCCCATAGAGAGGGGCTCCTCCGGGTGCCGTCGGCCAAACAATGTCGGCTGTCGGCCCCTAGGGGGAGAGCCTTCTCTGTGGGGGCACCTACGATTTGGAACGAGCTCCCCCCGGAGATACGTAGGATCCCGGATCTGCGCATCTTCCGCCGCGCACTTAAGACTTTTCTATTTTATCAAGCTGGCCTGGCCTAAATCTTCCCCCTTTTTAAATGTGGAAATTTTAAATTTTTAAATTTTAAATTTGTCTTTTTATAGGGGTATGGGTAAGGCATTTTAAATTGGGGAGCCATCTTAGATTTAATTCTGTTTTAAACGTATTTTAATTGTTTATATTGTATGTTTTTAACTTTGGCTGTGCACCGCCCCGAGTCCTTCGGGAGAGGGGGCGGTATAAAAATCTAATAAATAAATAAAAAAAAAAATATTATTGCCTGCTTACTTTATCTGGGCACCTGGAATGAGTCTCCCTGCTGAAGATAGTATCAGCAGTTTGCTCATCCCTCCCACGATTCCCAGCCTAACAAATGATGTGACAACATTACAAGATTTGGGAGGGTAGGTTAGACTCAGGGCCGGATTTTCCTATAGGCTAACTAGGCTTCAGCCTAGGGCCTCAAGATCAAGAGGGGCCTACATTCAAATTGTTAGCAAAATTAAAATTACACTTTCACTATAGGTGAAAGGGCCTCATAAGTGGAATAGCCTAGGGCCTCTTTTCATCTAAATCCGGCCCTGGTTAGACTACAAAAGATCTGATGATAATAGTGACATTCCACTTTTTTTACTATTGACAAGATCAACATATTGACATAGCCAAAAAATCACCAGGAGTCAAGCTCAATTCTTTTTAATATTTTTAGTACAAATCTGAAAAATTAGTTGTAGCAAGTTTGATCAAGATTGATAGCTTTATTTACAAACTTGGTCTTCATCACTTTTGCCAGGTAGATTTAGCCAAAGCTGACTGTTGAATTGTTTAAAATCGCATTCTACCAAATACCTTCAGCAAACAGGTTTATATTACTAATAAATTCCATATGCTAATTAGTAGACTTGGAAAAAGTATCTTTATCTTCATCTTTATTCTTTATTCTTGAATCCCGAGATTATTTTTTTAAAAAGTAGAAAGTACAGAATATGTTAGCGAGAGTAATCTGGTATTTTTAACAATGGCATATATAGTCTTTAAATTGGCAAACGAAATGTAGTGAAATTATATAGTAATTCCAACATTTAGCTTATGTGAGTTCTTATGAAATTCTTAGCTACTTGTTTCATCCCAGTAATTATAGGGCAGGGCTGCTATCGCTTCCAAAAACTGGCAAAATCTGCTATTGATATTTACAGAACTGGAAACTATTAAAATAAACAAATAAATGGCACCTACAGCGTAGTAATTCAGAATTATGCATGTTTATTCTTCCAACCACGTGACAAAATTATGCTGAGACATCTGTTTGAGAAATACTAGCACCTAACATTTTGGCTGTTTCCTCACCAATTTGGATTTTTAATAAACATGAGGAGAAGCTGTTGTTAGTATACTGGTGTGCTATGTGAAATTGTTTACGTCTTTTCATAAAAAGATGTATATATAAAATGCATTTACTATACAACACATGGAATTCTGAATTACATTAAATAAGATTTGCATTAAAAAATGATCATATCCAACTGGGGCCCAATCATATAAACTCGCAGACCAGTGGTAATGGACACATATAGAAATACATATCCCTCCTTGACCATAGAAAGTGATCAATTATGTAGCCTAATCACTGTAAATTGCCTTACAAAAGGCAGAGACTGTGCAAGGTGGAGGTCATGATTGCATAGTGATAAAAGTGGCCCCTTCAATGAGAGGGAACATTTGCCAGTCAACTGATTTACTAGAATGAATTCAAGTGTTCATTCTCCATAATATCAGAATTTATTAGCAAGGTATCAGAGAAACATTTCCAATACTATAATTTTTTTTTCTGTCTCAAAGAACTGTATTATCATTTGCTTAATCATAACAATTTTTCATGATTGTGCAAATCTACATATATACTCCACACATTTTTACTGTTTAAAGTAGTTGCTTTCAGTTTGGAATAATCAGCGTTCTCTCAAATTAGCTTGTGGATAGAACTAAGAAGTATTGTGATCCCATGCTAATAAACGAAGTCCAACTGAAACCTTATTTACTAAACTTCCTAATTCTGATCAATAATTAGGGTCATGTTAGCACCCCAATGCTATATGGTTAGTGTAAGCATCCGTGTTTGTGGACCTCATTATAATCTTTGTAGCCAACATTTCTGAACAGAAAAATACCAATCAAATACTTTGTTCATATATATTTTAAAATAATATTTCTTTGTAATGAAGGTTAGGAAGAGGGGGCAGCCGTGATATAACATAACTAGAATAATATCTTTCAATAAAGTATAAAGAAACTCTACTGTTGTTTTCTGTACAAGAAAGATTTCAGAGCCAATACTGAGATGAAAACTGTTTTAAAGCTACCATATATTTTGTATTTCTTGCTGATATTGCATGATACGATTAAAACAGAATTTTCATCTTTATGTTAATGAAGCACTGTACTAATTAAAATCAACACTGAGTGAACTTTCTATTTACATGCTTTCAGTTAGCCCAAGAGGAAGGAACTTTGCTTCAGAGCATATGTGAATCCTAGTGTTTCTATCATCCAGGTGCCATTTCTGACAGAACACATGTGCTCTGAACAGTTGGCAATACACAAAAAATATGACTGCTGATACCCAGCTATAAAGGAGTCAGGAGAATGCTGAAAATAAATTTGCGCCGAAGTGGTGATGAGATGGGAATGATTTTTTTTTTCCTGAGCAGAGAGATTTGATGTAGCCCCCATATAGATATGTTGAAATTAAAAATGAGTAATACATGACCATTTGATCTCTTCTTTCAGCTTCTCTTGAAAACACAAAGGTTTTATTTCTTACTACGGTGAAACTTTTTACTTTCCATAAAAAGATGTAGTAGAACATGAGTCAATGGTAGCTTGAGGTTGCCCTTTCTGTGAGACCATATTGCATAGTACCCATTCCATTTTTATTAGAGGGTTTGGGATAACTTTCCCTTGTTATTGATTCTGGTTTTTCTCACAAACAGCAGTATTCAAACATTGTTTAATTTGGTGTTTGGAAATACATTTAAATATATCACACATCTCTGAGATCTTCTTGGTTTTGGTTTAATGTAACTATTATTCTAATAGAATCCCCAGTTGTTGTTTTTTCTAAAAGAAACTTTGAAGTCAAGGTAGCCATTGGAAATTGTTTTTAAAATACATAAATAAAAAGTACTTTGTTGACATCTGCACTTGCAGAGGTGCAACCAGCTTGGTAGAATTTTTGAACATGCGTATTTCAGTGGTTTCCACTTAAGTCAAAGGCCTTTTATTTGAATTAGACTGTGCTCTGTATTCTACTCCTAATAGACCTACTGTGAAAATTTTTGCTTTCTAGGGCTTTGCTACAGGGCTAATATGCAGGTTTTTTACATAATATTAACATCAATTATTGCGTACTACAAAAAATAAACTTTTAAAAGATTCAAATGAAGGGGAACGTAGGCATGTGATTTTCTGTCCTATTAAAATCAAAAGTATATGAAATATGGTTTTGATACATTGGTCCTATGGTACAAAGAGGAAGCCCTTATAATGTTGTAATGATAGAACTGTGCATAAGACGCTCACTTCCCGGCAAATCAATTTAACTTATAAAACGAAGTATGCTACAGGTAGTCCTCAACTTATGACTGGTCATTAAATGACCATTAGAAGTTATGATGATCAGCCGTGGTAGTGCAGTGGTTAGAATGCATTACTGCAGGCTAATCCTGACTACCAGGGGTTTAATCCTGATCGCCTCAAGGCTGACTCCGCCTTCCATCCTTCCAAGATCGGTAAAAGGTCCCTTTCTAGATCGGGACTCCCTACGCACAGTCACTCATGCCCTCATCACCTCTCGTCTGGACTATTGTAACACTCTCTACATGGTGCTCCCCTTGAGGTGCACTCAGAGGCTCCAACTGGCACAGAGTGCGGCCGCGCGGGTGATTATGAGAGCGATGTGGAGTTCCCATGTAACACCTCTCCTGCACAAGCTGCACTGGCTCCCGATGGTCTTCTGGGTGCGCTTCAAGGTTTTGGTCATCACCTTTAAAGCGCTCCATGGCTTAAGACCTGGTTATCTACGGGACCGCCTGCTACCACCAATAGCCTCCCACTGGCCAGTACGCTCCCAGAGAGAGGGGCTCCTCCGGGTGCCGTTGGCCAAACAATGTCGACTGGCGGCCCTTAGGGGGAGAGCCTTCTCTGTGGGAGCACCTACGATCTGGAACGAGCTCGCCCCGGAGATACGGAAGATCCCGGATCTGCGCACCTTCCGTCGCGCGCTCAAGACTCTCTTATTTCATCAAGCTGGCCTGGCCTAAATCTTCTCCCCTTTTAAATGTAAATTTTAATTTGTTTTTAAATTATCAAGTATTTTAAATTTGTTTCAGCCAAATTATTTAATTTGTTTTTATTCTATTTTAAATTTTTGCATTTATGTGTTTTATTGTGGCTGTTCACCGCCCTGAGTCCTTCGGGAGAAGGGCGGTATAGAAATCCAATAAAATAAAAATAAAATAAATAAATAAAATGAAGACCTAGCAGGTTGGGGGCAATATGCTGACTCTGTAAACCACTTAGAGAGCGGTTGTAAAGAAATGTGAAGTGGTATATAAGTCTAAGTGCTATTGCTATGATGGACTTCCTCAGCATGTCTTATGATCCAGTTTTGCAGTTCCAATGGCCGCCCCAATCGGTCATATGATCACATTTTGGTTCTGGGTGACTGGCCTGCATGTGCAGCATCCCATAGTTACATCACGAATCACATGGCGATTTATGTTTTTAGCTTGAAACCAGCATTTAAACTGGCATTTTGCTAGAAACTGGTTTCTAGCAAAAAGTGCCCATTGGGTATAATAGGTTTGTTTAACAACAGCAGCATTCACTTAACGGCACCTGCAAAAACAGTCATAACATTGGGTGTAGTCATATAGTGACCCCTTAAAAAGTGGCATGACTTACGACTCTAATTCTGTGCTCAATTACAATCGTAAATCAAGGACCAGCTATATACAGTTTTTAATCCAAAAAATATCATGCATGACTTACATACATTCAGCACACATAAATTCTTTTTGTGTTGGAGATAAGAATTAAAAACGTGCCGAATCACTCACAACAATTAGTCCAACCTGGAAGTAATAGAAATATGTGTACAGATTTCACAGATTATATTAGTTTGTGTTTGAGTCATATCTGTAATTTGTATTTGTTTGCCAAGCTCTAAGGAAATCTAATTCTTTTCACCCACATAATAACACTAATGAATATAGAAAATTGTTTTCTGGAATGAAATATTTCCAGCTTAAAAAAGAAAGGAGGAAAAAGGTCAACTTTAGCCAATAAACTACAGTTTGAAAAGGAGAAGAATCTCATTAATATCCATAAGACTGGCTGAGATAGTCTCAAGTGTATTATTAATTTCAGATTTGCAGGAACTGATTCCCATTTTGTCCACTTTCATGACGAGCAGCTGTTCATGGCTGAAGTCGACAAGAGTAATGCTTTTCTAGAAGAAATCTTCAAAAACAATTTGGCTAATTTCCATCCTTTTCCAGACCTAGGTCGTCTTCTTCAGAAAGATTAAAATAAAAGAAAGCATAACATGCCAATAAAAATACCAATATAGCCACAAGGATAAGGCTGACTTCCTGTATTAAAAAGAAAAGAAAAAAAGAATTAAGCATCATTTTAAGTTAAGTAAGAGCTGATGTGATATTTACATTTATAAATATAAAGATTATAATCAGTAATAGCCAGTGAGATCCTCCAAATAGTTTTAACACAGACCATAATCCTGCAATTTAAAATATATGTTAAGTATTGTATTGAAAGTTTTTTGTTTTTAATCTCATATCCAAGAGAATCATAACACATGGCAATATCTATCTGGATAGAAGATTATGAGCAAATTTAAGGAATATAGTTCGCACTACTAATTCTTTTAAGAACAATCCTGAAAGAAGGCAACAGCAAACCATTTCTGTATTGCTATCAAGTAAACTAACTTAATACATCTACATAATCAGAAGATTTGAGGGAGTTTTTGTTTTTACTCTGAAGCCTATATCTTAACACAATATTATTTTGAAACAGCTACTTTTTTCCAATATTTTCTAGACCAAAGCTATGAAATTGGTTAGCAAAGCTGGGAGATTGGTTAGTAACTCTTGAAAATTCAGTCAGTGGTGAGGGATTTGAGGTGTTATACTTCAGCACAAAACTATTTCAGATTATGGTTTCCAACCTGTTCTAGACTATAAAATGACATATCATAAACACACCTGAAATATTATGTGGAGATCTGGAGAAACATAAGTCAGATGGGGAATTTAGTTCTTCCTGCCACAATCTTAATGAAACTCATTTCTCACCTCCCACTAGACACACAATTTGTCAGAGGATGCTGTTTCAAACTGGAATAAAAGCTCTTATTATTGCCTGACTTTATGTTACCAAGGGACATTTTTGACTGGAATCAGGATCACCCTCATTGTGGTTTCAGTCTTGCTTATTCTCTACAGAGTGGTTATACAGTTATATTAGGGGTCAGCAATGTTTTCTATTGGTGGGCATCAACATGATTTCACATATGCATAAGAGGCTATGTAGTGTACTAGTTACAGTACTAGTCTGGACTAAGTAGACCCAAGTTCTATTCTGCATTTAGGCACGGAAATCAGCTGGATGACTTTGGACCAATCAATCCCACTTAGGCTTAGAGTAAAAAATATATATATAAACAAATGAAGAGGCATTCATTCTGCAGGATATGGAGATTCTCAGTCATCCAGGTCATGGATGACTGATGTCATCCAGGTGCTTTTTCAAGAAGCAACTGGACTTTCTTTGTTTTTCTTTGTTTTGAAGACGTTTCGCTTCTCATCCAAGAAGCTTCTTCGGTTCTTACTGAATGGTGGGGAATTCCCCGTCATTCAGCCAAAACCGAAGAAGCTTCTTGCATGAGAAGCGAAACATTTTCAAGGAAAAACAAAGAAAGTTAATTTGCCTCTTGAAAAAGCACCTTTGGGACATGCATTCTGCAGGGGACTGATTCATGTTGATGTGTGTGTGTGTGTGTACTGGCATACATGGAATATATACACACATATGATAGTTTTGGTTAAGTAATTGTTTAGCCTAGAAAGTTTCCTTCTGAAAAATGTTTTCAACAATGGGCAATCATTCTAATTTGTGAGAGGCAGAATTCACAGAAGACTTTAGGCTCATTTAATATTTCATGCCATCCAGTCATAAAAGAATATAGCTCTTTAAATTCTCTCAGCTTTAAAAAGCAACTTGCCTACTGTATTTGCAAAACAACTGAAATCCATAATAGGTACGTAAAACTTGTTGAAAGATATGAACTTTATGGAGGGTATAATTATCACTCAGGTCTCAAATTTGCAGCATGAAGCACTTGAGAAGACACCATATGCAATTTTTAAATAAAATAAATCACCATTTTATCAATAATGGTTTAGATAAAGTAACAAGAGGAGGAGAAAAGAGATAAATGGGATTTGGAAACAGATTTCTTCTGCATTACATAAATCAGAATGGACTGAATGATTTTCTCAAAGCAATGATTTTCTTTTCATGAACATTAAAAATATATATCCAAACTTAAAAGGATGAACATTGTTCTAAAGAGTTAAATTTCTGTCAACCCCTGAGAATGGGGAGATCTGCTGGCTGATCTGACATGTTTTTCTGTAACATACTTTACTCACATTTACAAGAATCCATTTTATATTTTTGCAGTACTTTAAATGCATAATTCAGTATATGCCATTTACACACTTTTTAGTTATAGCTTCCTTGGGCTAAGGTTCTTTGTGGATTATCATTCTGCAGATAGCCCAAATTTTCTTTTCCACACAAATAATTTGACTCATGAACTCTTTTTTTAAAAAAACCTATTTACGGTATATTGCTGGTGTTCTACTACCAATCTCCATTTTTTGTAAAGAATGTAAGAAGGCTATTTTAAGCTTCAGTATCATCTTCTGGTTTCATCTAATAGAAGTAAAAACACAGATCATCTCCAAAATTATTCTAGTAAACCAAAACGGCAGATCATCCAGCATCTCAGGAAAACACAATGGATGAATGGCATGCAACTACAAGCTGCTTCTGATCAGAAACAGATAATGAGATCCTACTATTTTCCTGGATATTATAGTTTCTACTGTGCCTGCTTTTCCCATTTCATTTTGCCTGGTAGCTCGCTTTCTCCCTAGGCTAAACTAGCTTCAAAATTGGACCCGGTTGATTAATGCCTTTGTTGTTATGTATTTCTCTCATTATATTAAACCTCACCAAAATCCCATTGTGCACTGAACTCCTCTGAAAATTATAGGAAATGCCATTCCTTTTCCACTGGTGTTTTTAAACTGAGAACTAGAATGTCATCAGAATTTCTTACTAAAAAAATAGCAATGGTATCCAAATTTGCCTTAAAGTCAGTTTGTTGACTTCACCTTGCAGCATGGTACTCCATGCTTTTTATTCTTTTTTTAAAAAAATGTTTATTGAAAATTTTAAACAGAATTAAAAACTACAAACGTTGAATTAAAGAAGAATAAAGAAAAGTAATAAGAAATGAAAAAGAAATATAGAGAAGAAAAACTAGAAAAGGAGAGAGGAGGGGAGGGGAGGGGAAGGGAGGAGAGGAGAGGAGAGGAGAGGAGAGGAGAGGAGAGGAGAGGAGAAGAGAAGAGAAGAGAAGAGAAGAGAAGAGAAGAGAAGAGAAGAGAAGAGAAGAGAAGAGAAGAGAAGAGACAGAGAAGAGAAGAGAAGAGAAGAGAAGAGACAAAAGGAAGATTCTAAAGGCTTCTGATCTTCTTGAAAGTGGTTATAGATACTGTACCTTTTTATCTCTCTCTCTCTCTCTCTCTCTCTCTCTCTCTCTCTCTCTCTCTCTCTCTCTCTCTCTATGGTTACATCATAATTTTTTTCTGTAAGCTATCTTTTTAGATCTTACCATAAATCACAACTTTCTTTTTTTCTTTTTTTCAACAAAGTCCACAAGGGGTTTCCAGTTACTAATAAATACAATTATTGATCTTTTTCTAATCAAACAAGTTAATTTTGCCATCTCTGCTAGTTCGGTCATCTTCACAGACCAACCATCCAACATGTATTTCAGAGTCTTTCCATTTTTGCACATATAACATTTTCACAGCTATAATCTTATATAAACATAATTTTCCATGGTTCTTTTCTAACTGACTGTTATTAAGCCAGCAAAAAAAGGTTCTGATTTTAGTTGACCATTGATTGATAAAAAGTTTTCTATCATTATATGCAGGGGTGGTATTCGCAAATGTGAGTGCGCATGCGCAGAGCGTTCCACCTACAGAGCGTTCTACCTATTCCATCTACATGCATGCACAGTGTTTCACGCACGCACAGAGATAAAAAATGACATCAGGGCAGGTGGGCGGAGCCTTCTGCAGCCGCCATTACTGGTTCGCACAATCTGGATAGAACTGGCTGAATTGCACCACTGTTTATATGTAACTAAATTGTGGGGTGCCACAGGAGTCGGTCCTCTTGCCCCTCCTGTTCAACATTTATGTGAAGCCGCTGGGTGAGATCATCCATGGCTTTGGGGTGGAGTTTCATCAGTACGCTGATGACACACAGCTGTACATCTCCACCCCAGGCCACCCCAATGATGCCCTTGAAGTGATGTCCCGGTGCCTGGAGACCGTGCGGGCCTGGATGGGGAGAAACAGGCTCCGACTCAACCCTTCCAAGACCGAGTGGCTGTGGCTTCCGGTGTCCCGATATAGCCAGCTGGTGCCATTTGCTGGTTATTGGGGTGAGTCATTGGCCCCCACTGAGAGGGCTCACAACTTGGGCGTCCTCCTGGATGCACGGCTGTCTTTAGAAGAGTATATGACGGCCGTGGCCAGGGGGGCTTTTTATCAGGTTCTCCTGATATGCCAGTTGCGTCCCTTTCTGGATTGGGACTCCTTACGCACGGTCACTCAAGCACTCGTCACTTCCCGCCTGGACTACTACAATGCTCTCTACATGGGGCTCCCCTTGGGGTGCACCTGGAGGCTCCAACTGGTCCAGAATGCGGCCGCGCGGGGGATTATGGGAGCAAAGGGGCACTCCCATGTGACACCCTTTCTGCGCGAGCTGCACTGGCTTCCGGTGGTCTTCTGGGTGCGCTTCAAGGTGTTGGTGATTACCTTTAAAGCGCTCCGTGGCTTAGGGTCTGAATATCTACGAAACCGCCTTCTGCCACCAATAGCTTCCCTCCGGCCAGTACGCTCGCACAGAGAGGGCCTCCTCAGGGTGCCATCGGCCAGACAATGTCGGCTGGCGACCCCCAGGGGGAAAGCCTTCTCTGTGGCGGCACCCGCCCTTTGGAACAACCTACCCCCAGAGATACATACGATCCCAGATCTCTGGACTTTTCGTCGGGCCCTTAAAACTCACTTATTTCATCTAGCCGGGCTGGCTTGATCCCATCTTTCGGTTTTAATTCGTAATTGATTTTATTGGGGTGTTTTTAAATTGTGGGCCGAAACTATTTAATATCTTTTTAAATTGTTTTAAATTTTGTATGCTATGTTTTTACCTTGGCTGTTCACCGCCCTGAGTCCTGCTGGAGAAGGGCGGTATAAAAATCAAATAAATAAATAAATAACTGAACCCCAAAATTTCTGGCTTTTTTATAAGTCCACCATGATGTTAAAATGACTCATCATGTTGTCCACATTTCCAACTTAAATCTGAAGTACCTTTATACATTTTAGACAATTTTCCTAGAGTCAAACACCACTGGTACATTACTTTATAAAAAAATTTCTGTTAAGTTATAACACCATATAAATGTTAATCCTTTTAATCACATATTTTCACGGTGTTCAATCAATATGTTATGTTCAAAGTTCTTAGTCCATCTTCTCATAGAGTCTTCTGCTTGTTCTTCTTCCGTTTCAAGTTTCAATAAAGGTTTATGCATGTCAGCATAATTACATGTTTTCTGTTCTCAGATGTTAGCAGTAAATCTTAACCATTTAATGTTTCCTCTGAAGATTCCTAAGCATGTTCCTGATCTTTGCAACAGCCTTTATCAAGCTGATGCCCTCCAGTTGTAGAAATTCCAGTTTCTTGGATCAGTGGATATGTTAAGCATTCTTAGACGTTTAAGAAAATCCATTGGCTTGTCTCCCATATCACATTAAGCCATAGTTACTCAACCACGGCTTTCAATATAAGTTACAACTACTTGAGTTTGCTCAACATATGCCAAAAATAAACAAACTATACTTTGGCTTAGTGCAAATGTGCATGAGGTCATTATGTTAAAGCAGATGAGGTGTTTAACAAAACATCTTGTGAGACATGGCAAGAAACTGTTCATTTCTAAACTTGGAGAAATTATCAATGATGGCCACGGTTTGGATGCAGGTGTGATTTTTGTTGAAGAGCTAAAAACAATACCCATGAAACTAGCATTTTAATACTGAAACTATCAACACACGAATAGCTCATAATATGTATCAAAAAGCATATAAATACAGCAATCAAACAGTCATCCTTCTTCAGGAAGAGTAAAAAATAGTGGATATTTATTGCTCACAAGTTGCTACATTGACATTATCAACATAGATAAAAATCACTCTTTGGGGAAATTAACAAAGTATTAAATGGCAATGACTAAATGAAACTTTTTTATTTTCAAGCCTACATGAAAATGGCAGGCAATCAAAATATACCAGAGTAAACTAATTAACATGCTAGAGATGAAATCAAAAGTATCACACTGGGGTTGATTTAGAAAAGTTTAAGACCATACACTCAGGGGGAAAAAATCAAACTTTTGCAAACTTTTGTAAACCTACTTCAAGCACCAGGGAAATCAGGAGATCCAGGCAGTTCAAATGGGTATAAAGATTTATTGTAAGATTAAGCTGTCTACAAGAATCTGAACTACTAACGATCAAGCAATTTGGTGGGAGATAAAGAATTCACAATGGGCTGGATTTAGATCTCTTGTGAGCACGAAGGGATTCATGGTTGATTACGTGCTTGACCCCTCCTTTGGGCTCAGCCTGGTCATCTCCTACACCTACATTCCTAATGAAAATTCAATCACCGCAATAAACAAAGTAAATGTTGAAAGAATGTTTCACTGAGTATTTTCTGAAATGTAATGAAATTAGAGTTCCATTTTGAACAATAATAGATCATCCAACGTAGCAATACCTAGCATTTCCTACAGCTGCCAAAAAAACTAATGCAGTCCTCGGCTGCATCAAATGAGAGATAGTACTGAGGCCATACTTGGAATTCTGCATCCAATTCTGGCCACCAAAATACAAAAAAGATGCCGAGATCCTAGAAAGAGTGCAGAGAAGAGCAACTAAATAATAAGGATAAATCGTTCAAGGAATTGTTAAGGGGTCTAGGTATATGCTTAGCCTAATGAAGAAAATAATTAGCGGTGACATGATAACTGTCTTCCAGTACACAAAGGGTTGCCACAGAGAGGTAGAGATTAAATTATTCTCCAAAGCTCCTAAGGGAAGGACAAAAAGCAATGGGTGGAAGTTCATTAAAAAGAGATCCAACTTGGAATAAGGAGAAACTTCCTGACAGTGAGAACAATTAACAAATGTAACAGTTTTTGTCCAGGAGTTGTGGGTGCACCATTGCTGAAGATTTTCAAGAAAAGATTGGACAATGAAATAAGGTCTCCTGCCATGGGCAGGGATTGGACTAGAAGACCTCCAAGGTTCCTTCCAGCCCTATGATTCTATGACATAATGACTAGAATGACTTTAACCCCATACACACAACTTCTCTGTAAATCTTAGTGAAGTCAATGGGATTTAGATTTCATTAAATAAATCAATAAGATGTACAGATGGGACAATATTTATTTTCATCTACTATAATTCATAAATTACTTTAAAACAAGGATGTTTATCAATTATGTGCATGTTGATCCCAAAAATATGTTTCATAAAATTCAGTGATTGACTCTCAAACAAAACTACAGGTTTTTTTTGTTTTGTTTTTGTTTTTTTGGTAATTGTAGTTTGTTGGGTGGCTTAAGTCAATGAATATATTAGATTCTGGAATTCAGTTTTAATTAGCAGTGCCATAAACTAATTCTCAAACAAAACATCAATGTCATAAACAATCTCTAAAGAACAATATTCACCCAACACTTTTTTCTGGAGAAATGAAACTCAATATTTATTGGATATTGATGTAAATATATACTAGTCATACCTTTATGCCTGGTGCAGTTTTTTTGGCCTCTGCTTTCAGTCTTGCTGCTTTTAACATTGGTTTGTTTTTCTTATAATCTTGTTTTCCTGTTGAGGAAGGGGGGATAGGTATCACTGAATGCCCTCCAGAGTAAATGAGGGACAATAATTTAATGACTGTGGAGTATCCCAAAAAAGTCACAATTGCTATCTTTAATAGCCACAAAGAGCTAGTTGGAACCACACTGAAATATTTGCTTAAATGGGGGTTACATGAGACTCTAGTCTGAAACAATTTATTATTTTGTGCTTGGGATGATCACATACAATTCTAAAACACTGCTGCCATAACATACCACATTGTCATGCCAATTCCAGTCATAATCAAAATGCATATAATGTTTCCATGCTAATTTATTAAATTACATTTTGAGGCCACCCAATTGTTTAATAACTCTGGCTCGCTTGCAATTAAAAAAGAAAAACAATATATATAGAAAAAATTACAGCAGACTGGAAGTTATCTACACTACCAATAAAAAAACCTCAAGATCATGGAGAGACCATAATCATTCTTTTCCAAGACCCATGGGAAAAAACCAAATTGTCATTAGGATGGGAGTCACACAAATCTCTGGGGATCTGGGGGGGATGTAACTTCACAGCAGGGATGGGCAGCTATGGTAACTTTATGACCTGTGAACTTCAACTCCCAGAATCCCTGAGCCATCCATCCAGAGGGTTGCACACTTTATCTGTTTGCCATGAAAAATTATACTCTTTGGAAATAACTCTACTCTATATAAAAGATGATTATCCCCACTCCCATATTCAGTCCTTAAAATAAGATGCATTCGTCCTTAGTAATGATGGGTTTTGACAACTTATAGCAGTTTGCTTTTCTGCCTTAGCAGAGTCAGATTAGCGGAAAGCTACACTTTATAAAGTTGTTGTTTAGGCTACAATCATAGGCAAATATATTGACAATAAGTGCCATGCCAAGTATTTGTTAGACTCAAGTTTAATAATGATAATATACCATTTGGGGCAAGAAATGGGAGATCAGCAAAAGGTATCAGAAAAATCTATTTCATAATATGCTTTGATACTGCGGAGAGCTATTTGTCATTTTTTTAAAAAAAAGATTTTCCCATGAATCTACTCTTCAGAATTCTTACATTATATAAAAAAAGTGTCCTACTCCACAATGAACGCAAATTTAAATGTCATTTCTGCAAATCTACCCTATCAAATGCTAGTCTGTGGTGTTTTTCTTGATTGCTAGTTCCTTTCCCCTCAGCTTTTTTTAAAACCAGCTTGAACTTCTGATATCTTCCTTTTAACTAGGGCTGTAATTTATTTTGGATGTTCCTAAGCATTATTTTGCTAGTATATGAAATGAAAGATATTGTACGATAGTTTGCAGACTGTTATGTCTCCTTTCTTTGATATAGATGTATAGGTTAACCTGTTCTAATATGTTCTCCATTGGTGGTTCTCCAGATTTGCTGACATACTTTGGGTTAGAGTCCCTTAGTATTCATCCTTAACAATTTCCTTGATTTAATTCCACAGTTCCTTTGGATCTCCATCAATGAAAAAATATTTGGATGTGCACAATCTGGCACGTCATTCCAAGGCCATAGAGTTCAATCATCTTTTCTCATTATTTCCAACTGGCATTCCATTCTCCAGCCACAACAAGGACAACTATGGTAGCTTATTATTTATTTAGTGTATGATGACAGCATGACAAAAGAGGAGTAAACATACACACACACTCTACATAAGTATATACAAAACTTCTATGGGGTTACAGCATGATCTCGTAACTGGATGTCCAATTCAGCTATCCTGGTATTGCTTCGTGCAGATCTTCTAGGGAACACACAGTCGGCAATCTTGCACAATATGTTTAATAGTTTGCGATTCAGCACCACAACTGCAATAAGGACAACTATGGTAGCTTGTACATTCTTTCAACATCATATTGAACTTACAGTAACTATAAAAGCTGTTAGCCTCTTATGCTTTGGTGGTTGAAGCATAAACTTGAATATAATCACCATCTTATTAAAGGGTAGTTCATCAAGTGTAATTGGTATTATTTCACCATTGACCCCAGCTAAGTACCATCCTTTTTTTCCTATAAAAGCAACATATCTTCTTTGTGTTCCAAGTAATAAACAGTATGATTTTCTGAATGAAAGCTTCCAATTGCAGTCCATTTCTATTCACTAATGCCTAATATGCCAATGTGTAGCTGATTCATTTCATTTTTCATTGTCTGAGCTTTCCCATGTTCATGCTTCTTACATTCCACATCCCCACAGTAATTCTATCTCTGCAGCTATTGATGTTCTTTTCCCGCAAAGCAACATCAGCAACTAGATACTCCAAAAGCTTTTCTCTAGCTGTGTTACAAATACCACAGGTTCCTCAGGTGCTCCTCAGTAGCATGTTGAGTGCCATCCAATGATGATGGTGGGCCCATCATGCAGCAACATATTGTCAGCCAGTTTATCTTATCTAGCCATGTGATTTTCCCTATTATCACTTAAGGTCATCCATTTTCAACATATTCCTTTATCTGCGTCTCAATATAGATGCCTACTTGCTTTATTTGACCATTTGGGATAACTTTCACACCTTGGGTGAGTCTGAGGAGTTCTTGGCGCTACTTCCACAAATTCATGGCTCATTCTTCCCAGGAAGACTGTCCCCATGACAATGAGGTAGCATAGCAAGAGTTGAGGGGAACTGCTTTTTAATGAACCTTAATTTTGTTGTCAAGAAACTAATGGTTTAAATACTTAGTTTAAGTTATTGTTTTAATATGTATTTTATCTAGCCACTTTTAGTTCACATTTTTAGATATAGGATTTTTAAGCCTTCTTGAAATAAATGTTTAGTCTAAAGGCAACATATAAACATAATTTAAAAAAAACAACAACAACTAGCACCTGGTTTATCATTATACTGATCTGCAGGTCTATCTATAATCATCAAAAATTATTTTGCTCTTTCACGAAAAACCCTTAAATAAGGTGGTATTAGGAGGGATATTTGAATCAGCCCTAAAGCAATATACCTTCTTTTTCCATTAAGTAGAAAGCTATAAAACAAAGTACCTTCTTCTTCCAATAAATCATTCATCTTCGAAGCAATTATGCAGTAGAAAACAATGATATGTAGGAATAATTTCTGCAGCAATAAATTTAAATGCAGATAAAAATAGTTTGGGCTGAAGCACAAGGTCTAAGGACAATTACGTGCATTGGATGCACATCAGATCCATCTGAGGAGAAGTAATACAAGATTTTAATCGGTACCATTATGTCTTAAGAAGAATCAGTTGCTTTCAACAAAAGGTTATTGATGTGTTGCATGACTATGTCCAAGTATCCAGAAAGAGCCCATTAATCAGGGCAACATATCAGTAAATGGTTTCAGGTAGTCTGCTGAAATAAATTTTATCTTCTCTATTATTATTTCCTAAATCTGACTGTGAATCAATTTATAATTGGCAATATATGCAGACGGAATTTAAAGTCAGCGTTAACAACTTGAATCTACATTTGCGGCAAACATCATTATGAAGAACTGAAACCACCTTTACTGTAAACAATCTATTTTTATGGTGAATCTACAGCTGGTAAATCTCAAAAACAAAGCATCTGTGATTAATTTTTTTCACTTTCCTTTTTAAGTATTAAAATCAGAAGAGAGAATACAAGTTTGAATCAATTGTGTGCAAAAATTTACAAAAGACATAATGAAAGATAAAAGAAAAATAGTAACTTCCTTTAAATATTTGACTCATCCTTTTTTAAAACAAAAAATAAAAATCCCTAGCTAGCCACCTGCATGGCAAAGCTACCAGATGAATCCAAAAGATTGCCAACCAAAATATTTAGCTTATACAAGCAATACAAATGCATTTGAAAGTTCTTCAAACTATACATTTGTTAGATCAGTGTTTCTCACTTGATGATCTCCAGAGGTATCCAACTGAATTTGTGATCATTTTCATTCATCTGGGCTAATCAGGTAAATGAAAGTGATAGTAGTTAAATGTGCAAAGTACAGGTAGTCCTTGAGTTGTGACCATAATGGAGAGTCTACCCATCGTGCTCTAATTAGTGATGGTCATTTAGGGAATTGGCTTGACTTGATTTTTGCAACTTTTTTGCAGCGGTCATTGAGTGTGTGCCAATGTTGTCAAGCAAATCAATAGTTGCTTATGGGTCAGTTTTGCCAAAAACTGGCAAAATCGTCATAAAACATGCTCATGTGATCGTGGGCCATTGCAAATGGCCATACATGTGGCCTGGTTGATGAGCTCCCGAAGTACAGTCATGTGACTGCAAGTGAGGGTTACCATTGGAACTTCTAATCTGGGTTGTAAGTACCCACCCAAACAGATCCATCAGAACTTTGAATGGTGGCTAAGTGACCAGTCATAAGTCAAGGACTACCAGTGCATAACTACTAAACCACATGCTGTTATGTCTGTCTAACTAACAGATAACCTCACCCCACAAACCACTTTTCAGTCAGTAGTTCCACTGAATTTTCCAGTCCCCCACTTCTCCAGAGTCCACTGGCTAGACTGCAGACTATGAATGCCACACACTGCTAAATCAAGTATTTATGTAATCTTCCAATATTACAGTACAACTGTACATAGAAGTAGAGGAACAAGATCTGTCTAGCCATATATGCTACTGAGTCAGCTTCAACTACTAAGTGTGAACAGGGACATCCGGAAGGAGTCAAAAAAAAGTCAAGATGGTGGTAATGCATTAATTTTTCTCATTCATTTTGTTAATTTACATAAATATTTGCATTTTTGACTAGATGTATAAATACATACAACAAAATTTGAAGAATTGCATGTTTTGAGTGATAAATGCATTTTGATTGAAGTATTTGTTCAAATTGGGCTTTTAAATGCCTGGCTGGTTTTTACTCTGCTGATCATTACCCAGAGTTGCAACTGGTGAGATGGTCAGCTATATAAATCAATTTAATAAATAAATGCAAACTAAGCATACTCTGTCTGTCCCCCAGCTCTATATCATTGCATATATTTCCACTCCAAAAAA